CATATTACTATTGCCTACTCTACTCTATGCACGCATTACTCTTATGTCCTTAACACCTGACTCATAAAATCACTACCTTTGTTCGATTCTTTCGCTAGAAAATTTTCTGGTTTCTGTGTTTCAAAAGCATAAGGTTGTAAAGGTGGAAGAGTGATGGCGTGTTCTGGGTTATTATCCGGGATAGCTTTAGTGCGTTCTATCTCAGCTTTAATTCTTCCTACGTCGGATTGGAGTTGGCCGTTCATTTGGTTGGGTATTGGAGAAGATGTTAAAGAACAAAGTATAAACATCAACTCTTAATTAATGACGTTTACTTACGCGCCATTGCAACCAATCAATGATAGCTGATGCGCAAAATTCGCGTTTGTCATCCGCGTGATAAACAAAGATTTAGCGTTAGTGCTTTCAAAAAAATATCGCTTTCATTGACAACGCTTTACAAACAAATGCTTACATTCACAGACAAATTCTTGCTTGGAGTATTAATGGTCAACTCCATAGTACAATGCCTTAATCAAGACTATTCGCTGAATTATACAACTTGAGAAATGGCGTTAAAATTCAGCGTTGGGTTGAAAATAATGTAAAAGATAAAAAACAAGAATAGTTATTAATTACAGTATAGTATTAATGATAGTAAGATATGAAAGATTCGTTATCATCGTCACCAGATACATATATATTAAGAAACTTTTTATGTAGTGTTAATTCGCAACTGTCTATTCCCATGGCCACAATAGTAATCTCTCGACAAGATATTGCCTTAGAATTGGCATTGAAACAGGAAGGTTTGGCTGTGATCATGCTGCTGCTCGAATTTCTCTTTTTCTATGCTCTGCAAATTTGCCACTTATGCTTATTCCATCTGCCCGACTGTACTTTTTGATACAGTAACACGCCTGGATAGTAATAGTGTGAATTTAAGTTTTTAAATTATTATTTATATTTTTTCATTTTCAGTTAGAGGGGCATAGTAAATAGAGAAAAGTTAGACAAGTAAAGTGATTACGTAAATATGGTTATTCACTTGGCTGAATAAAACAAATACATCTATCCTCGCTCACTCGTGGAGTCTTTACCTGGTACTGGGGGGAATCTTTACTTCCATAAGGTCACAGATCTTCTATGGAAGATAGGCCACTGCCGTCTCCCCATACATTCACACTGTAAGAGTAATTGATGATTCATAAATAGTTAAACACAAAAAAGAAAAATAGCCAAGGAAATCAATGACTGAATGTAACGGCTTACATATCAAGAAACATTCTCAAAGTTGCATAGTAGTTAATATTAAAGGATCTGTATCAGAAATCAATACAGGCGCAACTTTTATAATAAGCAAGGGAAAGAGCAGTCAGTTGACATAACATTAGTAACTATGTTATATTATAATCATGGATATGCCATGTAGAAGGAATGCCTAACTGATAGGAGGAGTGAATGGACGTACTTGATAATGACAGAAGACAAATACAAAGCAAAGCACGTTTACAAGTATTGCCTCAATGAGAGCTCCAATCGTAGTCAGCAGAATTCGATCTCATATCTGCCTGGGACGTCTGATGTCATGTGTAGCGTATTTTTTATAACCACAGGTCTCGGTCATAAATCCGACGATCTTGTAACAGCACCAAGATTTTTTCCATCTACGAAAGCAAAAAGCAAGCAGGACCTTTTTACTCTTCGTTTAAAATGACGGCAATGAAGTCGTGAGGTCAGAATAACTACGGGCTTGTGTTAGATGGCATTACATTCACGCCGATAATTTTCTCACATTTACAAAAAAGACTTCAAATGAGGAAGATAACGAAACATCTGTATTACTCAAAAGAATTACAGTAGCTTAGTCAAGTTTCACTATATACAACCTTCGGTTATAACCAGGTTAATTAATTATTGATTAATTTCTAGCTAATTCGCAACTTTTTGTAATAAAAGTTCTTGAGAAAAATCTGGCAAACCAAATGAATATAATATATTCTTCCTAATAAAGTTCTGTGTTTATGAAAATGCATCCAGCACTTTACCGAAAAACCAGTCGGCATTGTGCGCCTCTGACACATAATTCATAATAATGTACAATAGTCATACTGCGAGATCAGATGGATAAGCCTCCCTGACGTGGCTCAAAAAGTATTTCCCATCTTTTGTTCTATAAAAGATCTCTTTAGGCAACCCCGCTCGAACCATTTACCAGTAAACCATATATGGTCGGAACTTCCGCACATCTCTTGAATCCTAGTTCCGCAGGATTATTTTACAATAGTCCGCTTATTATTATCGAAACGCAAGAGGTCATATGAATGCAAAACAAGTGACTTCTTTCTTATCCTATTGTAGGCCTTGTTTTCACGTTCGCTCTGACTAGAGCAAGCATCAATGTCCTTACTATTATCGTAGCTTTCCAACTCGTCCTCTCTCATGCCCAAATACAAATCCGAATCATAGTCAATGTTGGGGTGTTTCTTTTCTAGTTCATTTAATCGTTTAGCGTACAGTAGAAATTTTAATCCAACGGCAGCACGACGCATTCCAAGAAGTAGTAGTTGCTGGTGTCGAAGTAGATAGTATGGAGACGGATATATTGGTTGCTGAGACAAGTCAATTGGCGTCGAAGGTGATGATAAATCGGAAGACTCGTCGTCAGACATTGGAGGAGTTGAAAGCGAAGGCAACATAAGTGGTGATATAGGTGAGGGAGCTCTTATGGGAGAACTCGGATAACTGCCATTT